ATTGCGCCCGAAGCTAGCGCCAGCCATAGCTCTGTCCCTATCGTCCGCCATATCTCTTACATCCGTCTCCTCCCTCCTTCTGATCTTCCTCCGTCCCCCTCTTCTGCTGAAGACGAGAACAACGACAATCTAGCTCCCGCCTTGTTCTCTCCCTCTTGTTCGCATCCCTCATCTTCTTCCCCGTCCTCGCCATGAGTTTCATCACAGAGCAAGCTCTTGGCAATCATCTKCTGCAGCCATGTGGCTACATCTCGGAGATCCGGCAAGTTCATCATCCACGGCTCAGTCCTGATCTACGACGACTGGCGCAGTTCTTCTGCACTGAGGGTGTGTGTGCCGCCGCTGCATTCCGATTCGTCGGAAGTCCGCAGGCAGTAGTATTGGCGGAGGTGGTAGAATTTCATCGGCGAGCGACTCTAGGAATGAGCCACGTCACCACGGTCGCTACCTTCAGCGGCGATATCAGCGCGGATAGCCCGCTTTGACATACCATGATCCTGACCTCATTGCAGGAGTGGACGCAACAGTTACCGACTGAGTGGCATCACGGTCTTGGGCGCCCCGGGTGCAACCTTGTCCCAACGTATGGGACTGACTTCGACGAGCTCCATACCTCTACGTGCCAGCCGGCAGTGGTGCTCCCCACTCTCGTCCCCTTTCAACGCCCCCAATGAACCGCGCCGCCCCTCTCGCTCCTCTCTCCACCTTTGGTCTTCCCTCTCTTTTCCCCACCTTCTGGCAATCAGATCTTCATCCCCGCCTTTCCTTCTTGCTCGAGCCTCTTGCAGTCCCGCTCCTCGATCCCAGGCATTGGCGGGTGTGGCGTGAGACTTTTGTCGATCTGCATGTGTGCTTGGCCCGAGTGGAGGTGACGTGGACGAGGACCGACGAGCATCAAGCGTGTATCGAGTACCTGGAGCTGATGATCATCCAGGCTTGTAGAACTGACGTGGAGGGCGATCTTCTCGGTTTTCTTTTACGATCGGTGCGGCTGGGCCATCGCCAGCTAATTGTCCAGGAACTCGTCGTCCCCCTCACGCAGCTGGTCGACGACCTCTCTCTCGACATCGTGTCGCAAAGTGACGAGAGTCCGGCTCCGCACATCCTTACTCGGACCTTGGCACCGTATCTTCAGTGGTCGGCGTGCTTGGAAGAACCAGGGAGCGAAAGCACCCTGCCATCACGGCAGGAGTACTTGAAGTCGTCCGGAGTCATTGATCTTGCCTTCTATCCGAAGCAAGATACGTCCGAGGAGGCGGTAGAAGAGGAAGAGGAGGAAGCCACCGAAGAAAAAGGCGACGTCGAAGAAGAGACGTCGGAGGAGGGGAGTTATAGTGAGCACAGCGAAGGAGAGCAGAGTGAAGAAGAAGAAGACGAAGAAGAGACGTCGGAGGAGGGGAGTTATAGTGAGCACAGCGAAGGAGAGCAGAGTGAAGAAGAAGAAGACGAAGAAGAAGACGATGAAGAGGAGGAAGCTGAATCGAAGTGGGAGGTCTTCCCTGAAGAAGCGGCGCGCACAAGCACAGAGGCGGAAGATCCCGAGGCGGCACGTAAGAGAGAAGAGATCGCCACCAGGAAAAACCAGCTGGAGTTCGCCAGCGAGGCGAACCTGCTTATCAACGACATCTCGACCAGGGATCCAGAGCCCCCCAAGCCCGAAGATGGCGAACCAGCAACTGCGGCTCCGAGCGCATCGCGACGGAGACGGATCCGATCCCCCTACCCTTCCACCTCTGCCCGTAGCCCAGTTCATCCACGTACTGATGCGGGGGATCAACCTTCGTCCCCGGTCATTATCCCGCCGTCCCCTTGATTACGTCACCCTTTGTCAGATCTCTACCCCCGTCACCTTCACTCGCAACCCCTTCCCTCCCAATACCTTTCAACACTTTTTCTCCACCCGCCTCGCCGTCACCGTCCATCCCCATCCTTCCCTTCAATGCACAAACCACACGTTCTGTTTGCACATCCTTTTGTTTAGTGCCGCGTGGGAGCAGAGCAACGAAGTAGAAGTCTACTGCGTAATCACAGGAACCGTCCCCGCATGTCGCCATCACGAGCTGTCTCGCGCGACACTCTTCCGCACGTTCTCCACCCTCTACCCTGACTACCTCGCCTCCCTCCCTCACAGCGGCGACCCCGCTTTCATCAGATCATCCGCTATGAGGAGCTTCCCATCATGGAGGAAGGGATGAACCGCTACTTACCCCCACTTCCTCCCAACCCTCCCCATCGACACCCCTCCATGTATAATGTCTACTTTCCCATTCCCACGCGGCGCTGATACCTGCCACGTGTCACGACGGCAGCCCATCCCACCCTCTTTGTCTATGACCGACCTGAGCATGACAGTCGACTGGAGAAATCGCCACGTGTCCCCCGAGCAACACGAATCAGCAGTTTCGCGAAGATCACGCCATTGACGATGACGTCAAGTCATGCTCTGATTCGACAGATTGCGCTGGACAGGGGGTGTAGAGCATACGGAGACCTGATGGACCATGATGGTGCAACCTGGACGATCTCCGAAGCTTGAAGGGCAGGGTATTGCATATGACAGAACTGCAGAGGATGAGGATCCGAGATAGCATGCGCCGGCATGCAGATCTTGCCACGGATGTTGTCGTCAACTCATGCCCTGGCTCAGTTTTCTCTGCTCACATTGTACTCCTACTTCTTCCTGCTTCTTCGTCTCCTCCCACTTCCTTGGTTCGAGGTTTTTCATGCAATCAGGAGATCGCACAGTTTTGGAACCCCCTGCGCGTCACGTATGTGACGAACCACTTCCCGATCTTGTACTATCTTCCCCTTGTCTCAATCCCCCATTTTTCTATCATACTGACCCAATAAAGCCCCCGTCGCTTTTCCTTATTTCAGGTGCCTTATTTAGGCCCCCATTTTTTCGGAGGTTCTATTGATTCTTGCAATTCTGCTTTTTGTAATTCGGGAAACGCATGAGAAATTACGCGCGCCTTAGCGAGCGCACTGGGAATCGGGCTCGACAGTTAGAAATTATGGAATAAGCGGAAAACGACGTATCTTTTTCTTTGCATGAATGTTCTTGGTCACGACGGAGAAAACTCTAGGAATTTTGTGAGAATACAGACAGGCATAGGACTTTTTTTTCCCGCGTCAACTTTCGCGCGCGGATATGGTGATTTCAATTTTTGAATTGGTTTAGGACATAGGCAAGCTGTAACTGTTTTGGTGCCTTTTTCTCTTGCTGTCAGCGCCGCGCATGTGAGCTTCCTTCTCATTCTTCCCCCGTGCTCTCTTCTCTGTCTCTCCCTTCTCCCTCCTCTCCTTCTCCTATCGCAACTGTTTTTCCCTCTCTCTCTGCTTGCTGCGCCTGCTTTCCTCTTCTTGATCATCTGAATCTTGGACCCGTCTCGCGCTGCTTTTCGCGCCTCTTTCCCTCCCGTTCCTCAACCTTGGCTCACGAAGCCCGGTTGATCCTCCGATTACCCTCGCTCACCAATTAGACGCGTTGAGCAAGAAGATCTCCCTGTTGCGAGACGAATCTGATTAGCTGAACAATGAGTTCCGAAGGATCAACATGGCTTCCCTTGAGCACCCCTCACTGAATCTTCTCCTCTTACACCTCGATCTCCCCTCTGTCTTCTCCCCCGTCTGTCTTCTTGTTCGCAACTATAAATTCCGCAAGCGCGCCCGCAAATCTCTCTTACGTTTTTCACTCGCAAGCCAGCTTCCGGGAAGCAGTGGCTAGGTGATGCATTTGGTGCGAGTCGAAAAGTCCTGTCGGGCTGACTGTATGCTGGCCGGTTGGGCGCTTGATCGCCACAAAGGACTGTGGGATCCGGGCGAGCTGTGTCGAGCTTGCGTCAGCGGGGTGACGATCGCAGAGGTGGAAGTTAGCACGCGACGGCCGGGATCGTCGGTGCGGGTATGAGGATCAATAATTGGAGTTGAGTGGATGATTGGCCCGGGGCCATACTTGAATTTCACGGCGACTGCGCCTTCATGGTTGCGGATCAGTTCTTTTTGTGTGAGTTCATGGCTGCGAAGCCGAATGTTTCCTTGTTGGATTCCGGTGTCTCCTGTCTCGACATTTCTCGTCTATCTCTCCCATCTCTCTCTCTCTGAATTGAATGGCGATGTGTTATGAGTATGTCTCTCCTATGAACATAAGTGAATCCTCGTGATTTCCCGCCCAGAAGAACTTCTTCCGAAACTCTTCCATCAGTTTCCTGGGTAATCCCCGGATGCAAGGAAGCTCAATCATCTTGTCGTGTGAATGGTGGATGCGTGTGTACTATCCCTCAATTTGTTTTTGATGCACCATTATCATTTTCGCACCTTCCACAATGGATGTATGTATAAAAATGCTTGTATTTTTGCGTTAATTAGACCCAGCGTTCGATGGGATTTTGGTCGAGAATGCAAGAGTGTTTAGATCTGTCGTTCTGAATGCACTGCGCATGCCATCTGCCTTATGCTGCACGACGTCTGCAGACAGTCCATGACGCAGCCTCGAAAAAGTCGGGCGCCTCGGGTTTTTGTCGAACTAGTCCGCTGAAACTGAGTCGCGGGTTGATCTCTCGAAACTTCAACCCGATTATTGCATGATTGTACGAACTCCGTAACTCGCTTCTCCCGTGTCGAAGGGAGGAAAAATACTAGTTAGTTCTTTTTCGATTGTGCTTTTTGTCAATTTTTGATGACGTCTACGGGGGTTTTGCAAACTCATTTTGATTGATTGATGTGTGGACTGATGGCCGTACCTCGATCGGGCGCCAGCCTCCCGAATCTCCCTCGACAACGCGCCCCTTCCCTTACAACGAGGAAAGGACATGTGTTTGTGAGTGGGACGTACGAGAAGCTGTCGCACGGATCGGCGAACGGTATTACTTCCCTCCCGAAAATCATTGTTCTGGATTCGTGGATGCGGGCTTTGTCATTATCGATACGCACTTCCCACCTTACTCCGTGCTGTTGCCATTTAACGAGCTGATCGTCATTCCGTGGACGCCAGTGGCGCCCCATTGGCCTCAAACCCTGTGCACAGAGTGCCAGCGTTTCGATCGCTACGAATCAAAGGGCTTCCACTACCGAATACGGAGTGAAGACGAGCACAAGGAAAGAGCCACACGGTGGAGACCATCCACGTCGGACTCGGAACTGACCAACTAGCGACGTCGGGACTCGATACGAAAACGGGACACGCGGAGTGTACCGAAGCCCTTCCGCTCTAAACGAAGATCCATAGCGCGGTGGGAAGTTCGACAGTAATTTTTGGATTGAATTTGGATTTTTCTCTTTTCGCGCCGAGCACGCGTGCGCATTCCGCGATGCGCGAAAGCAACCGACTTACTTCATCGGGCCAACATGGGGGATTTCAGTTCTGTTTGTGTCCCCACACTCAATTTTCCAAAAATCCTTGGCACACCCCATCTTGCTGTTTTTCTGGGCCTTCTTTCCGCACCCTTAGCACTCTGAACGGAAGACAGCACAGGGCGTGAGGTTGCGCGTCACAGGTGCACTGGTTCTTTTTCCGTTTCGACAGTGGTGTGGAGAGGCCCTATTCGTAAGAACCGTTTTCATTGCAGGCATCCTTCAGGCAGGACGATTCATGCTAATTTAATTTACCCTTCTCTGTATGGTTCGGATTTTGAGGGATGTCTCTGAGGACCCTTTTTTTTCTCCCAAGGCCTCGGTTCCTTCTTTTCTTCTTTTCTCTTCTTTGAAGTTCGTTCCAAGCACGACCGTCTGTCGGTCTTTAGCTATCATCCTCCACCTGAGGACCCCATTGCCCCTCCCCTCTCCACCCTCAAAACAATTAAAACGGCAAACAAAACCCATCGCCCCAGATCTGCTTCAGAATCTGCGGCTACACCCCACTTGAGGAGGTTTAGTTCTGCTTTTGACAAAAAGATGGGTCCACAGTATGACTGTGTTGAAACATACTGGAAACCAAAGCAAGACCTCCATAAGCGGAGCATGGGCCCCGGTCTATTCATCTGAACAGATTCTCCTGGACCTCCTGCCTATCATTCCCCCCCCAGCCCCCCCGCCCCCCCGCCCCCCCGCCCCTCCCCCCATCTCCCTTCCCCTCCCCCCAACCCCCTTCCCCTCCCCCCCTTTTGGACCTTCCCCCAGAAGCTCAACACTTAATCTGCTAATCAACTCAGCTCATCTGTGTACCACTTAGCCCCATTTCATCCACTTCGTCAACTCTCCGAAAACTTTATCCGATTCCCTTCTAAGCCTTCTTTTTTATCTGATTCCCTTTTCTAGTAAGTTCTTAGTCTAAGAACTTTTTTAATTCCCAATTTGGACCATATCTCGATTTCTGGCATTTCTGCGTGTCATCTTGGAATGTGTAGTACCGGGCATGCTCAAAACCAGCAGTGTTTTTCCCACTATGAGAATAAACATCATTCAAATATGCAACTTGTATACCGGCACAACTTTTGGGGGTCGGCCTCCGGAGCAACATGGCTGGCGGCGCAAGCCGAAAGGAGGGTAGCCATTGTGGTAGCTCCTTAAAGGTTTTGTTTGGCACGCATTGCATTGGAATGTGTTTCCATCCCCTGAGAAAAGTGCCTCGGAAGTACTGGTGGTTCTTTGTATGGTTGCAGTCCTTTTTTACCTGAGATAATTTCCAAAATACCCCCGTAACTTGAGATCGATTCCAAGTTGTCCCTGAAAGATGTGGGTAGAGCAGAACGCCCTCTCGGGCAGAATCCTTTGTGTTATGCGGCTTATGCCCCTATCAGGCCGGTATGCAAATTCGGAATCTGGACCTGGCAGTTTTGGGCCTGGACATTTTGCTAATATCAGGCCTTGGAAATATTGGCGAGGACTGGGGGCATTTTGCAAAGTTAAACGGTACCGGGTAAGGGATATGTTGC